TTTACGGACTGCCGTAGATTTTAGTGACCGCGGTGGGTCGTGTCGAGTCCGTAAATTCCACCTACAGACCCGATTTACGGCCCGCGGTGGAGTTGCTCTTATACTCACAGACCATCGACTGATCGGGTTGACTATCAAAGTGTGGCATACAACTCGTGGGGTCAGCTGCACTCCAACCAAATTTGAGGGTCAGGGCAATAATGACAGCTAAGAAAGATAAGCTGATGTATGAATTCTAGAACAACATCATGAGGGACACTTTAATAAGAGATTGGGACAGGATGAATTGACAAGACAAGATTTTACTGTGTTGGAACTTGGAAAGTGGGATAATTGCGGCATTGGAACTTGGATCCCGGCACAGGTAACTGGATCCAAGGGCATTCATATCTGTTGAGTATGACACTGTGCTTGCCACTTCCCAATGCTATGTAAATACATTCTCAATTCTTACTCTCCAGCTGCACATACAATTAAGTTATTAAAACACACATGTCTTGCATTTCAATGAAAAGTCTGTGTCATACCCTGCCAAATATTCAGGGGTGCCAATTGCTATGCCTGGAAGTTGAACTTAAGGAAAGGGGATTGGTAACTTTGTAAGAACCTGTAAGAGCTGTGGCCATGTGCGCTATTACACAATGTGGCGGGTATGTTGCCCAGGACTCAAAGGTGGAGGTGGCCCATTGATGATTGGCCCTCTCAGCCAAGCCCTCAGCGCAATGGTGGGCCGCTACACTAACTGTAGCGGTTAGTGTAGCATAATGCAGCAGAATTCACGTTAGCATTAAGCATAGCACAGCGGGATTCTGCCACGACACCGCTAATGCTACACCTCTGGGCCGCAAAGAGGGCCCACTGCGCTGCGCTACAGCACATTTTAGCAATTTTTGGGCTGTTTTTGCTGCTAAAAGCGCTACAGCACATTTTAGCAATTTTTGGGCTGTTTTTGCTGCTAAAAGTGCTGTAGCACAGCGTAGTGGCACTAAAAGCGCGCTAACACTACAGGTTTGGTGCACTGTTTTAAGGGCTGCTACGCTAATGTTAGTGGGCTGTTTAGCGCAGCCTAGCCTAGCGGCCCACCATTGCTCCGCGGAGGGCATCAGTTATGCAACACCATTTGGCTGGTTGCTACCGTGCCACCAAAGCGAGGTGTGGGCATCTGGGCATTGCACTCTTTGAATGACAGCTTGGCTAGCCTGTATGTTAGCCTCAGCATAGTTGGCATCTGGACTTGAAGACCTTCCAGTCTTCCAATGAGCAAATTCTTCCATCCAGAGATATTGAGTCGATAATTGCCAAGGATTTCTTTTTTTTGCCTGCAAATGGATAAGGAAAGGAACTATTATAAATGTTTAGAGAGGCCCCAGCAACATTGTTGTAGTATGCCAATTGTGTTTCAAGTATCAAATTGCATAAAGTCGCAGTGCAATACTTAGAAGGGCATATATTCTTAGGTGTATTATGGCATAATCACATTCTATGGGTCATTTAACCCATAGTCACTCACTGGAACCACTAGGCTAGCTCCACTCAGTCAAAAGTTATTTGGGATTTAAATTTTATTTGCATACAAAATGCTTATTGCATAATGTAAACCACAAGTGGGCCTTCATTTGGTTATATATCCAATATTCATTGCATAGTGTAACCATAAGTTGGCCACATTTTGTAGGTACACTGAGAATTCTGTATAGTGGCAAAACCACAATTTGGCAAGAGTTTTAGATGCATATTCATTATAGGTTAGGGCTAGAACCACAATCTGGGCATTATGTATTTACATGTTAGGGCTAGAACCACAAGTTGGCCATTTATAGATTATTGGTTAGGGCTAGAACCACAAGTCAGCCAGGTTGTAAAATAGACTATTTAAGGAGGGGCTTTCCCCCCTCATTCCAATTTTTCATCATCTCATCACATCATCACATCTGATCAGCAAACAGACAGAACAGAGCAATCAATCCATACATTAACCAGTGTGATCTTAATCAAGTGCCCCATTGAGATCATTCAGATGTTGAGAAGCATAGGAAAAGGAAAGTAACAACCTGGACAACTTGTGATCTTAAACAAGGAACAGTGATCTTAAACCATTGTGTTCCCAAACCAAGGTTAAGGAAGAAGGAAAAGACACCTGAATCTGTTAATTTGGAAGGACATCCTAAACGTTATTTGCTGGCAAAAATTGATCAAGATCAAGTTTTCACCAGCCAATAGAGTTTAGGACCCCCTTCATAGAGTTTAGGACCCCCTTCTAGATCAAGCAATTTAGGTGACGGGAAGTCCTCCACTACATTTGTGCAAAAATGGGATTCCTTATCTCAGTCATTCACCCAAACTCAATCCACCTTTGAGCAGCAAGCCGATGTAAGTGTTGCATACCACTCAGTCCAAACTCTCTGCCAGAGTCATCAATTGACAGTTATGGAGTTCCAATCCTGCCCCTCTTGCAGTTGTGGCTTGACTCAAAGTAACTTCCGAGTGCACCAACATTTCTTCTTCTTTTCAATGCATGGTTAACCGCTAGACCCAAAAGGCCAGGTTGGGCTGATTTCATACATTCAACCAATGCATCTTCAGACACATTTCCAGCAATCCATGACAATGTATACCTCTTTCCAAAGAATTATCATTGTTGGTCAAGCAAACTACAGTGCCCAATGGCAATCCAAATTTGCTCGTCAGTTGAATTTTACTCCCACTCAAAATTTGACTAATGCATATTTGAATGGACACCGACTACACGATTCTTCCTTGCAGAGGTATTCCAAAGGTTGAGCTCATTTGGCAGCTTCTGCCAGACCATTGCTCTTAGCCTCCACCTTGACTTGAGTGCCATTTTGGGCTGTCTCAGTCTCAGCCTTGACCTATTTATAAACATTGGGATCGACCTCAATGGACACCTCATTGGACCGCATGGGGGCTTGCTCAGTAATCTTCTTCATTAAGCAAAAATTGGTGGCCCACTCGGCTTGCTTTGGAAATAAAAAATTGACATTGTAGCATCCCTTCAATCTAGTTTCTACAAAAACTTTCTTTCAACTCGTCTCAGAAGTAGGACGTTTCCTCTTCATCAAGGCTTCACTTCCTTCAATCGTTCCAAAAAAATGAGTGCTATGTGTTCGCACAGGCTCACATCCAATTCAATGTAAATTACCTCTATCCTTACTGTAACACCAAAACCAGATGCTCTCAGAAATAAAATCCTGGTATCAACTCGCGTTTTCTTTCAATCAGATTTTTTTGTCCCATCATTTAAGACGACACTATCTACTAAACCATTGAGTTGTACCAATGCCACAACATAGGTAGCATGAAATAAGCAAGGCCGTCCCCCTGATGGCTGGTTGGCACTCATTGTTCAAGTAGATTGGTTAAGTCCAAAGGGGATTCAGACATTTTTGCATTGATTTCTCGCATGGATTGGGGCTTTATGATTTGATGATGTCTGTTCAAGTCGATGAAAAATCTGTCCTCGCGATTTCTGCCAAAGGCAGCGTATGGGAGTCAATAATTGTTGGAGATATGTGACCGTCCGGGGGCATGCAGAGTTCAACTCCAGAGGCTGAGATGAGAGGGATGAGAACCTCCCTTTCCGGTGTGACAGAAGTTTAGACGGCTGATGCCGCCGCAAGTTATTGCATAACCAGTGCTGCCACTGGCAGGCCAAAAAAAACCCCACGGAAAGTGTATCAAAAGTGACGGGGTAATCCAGGTCGGATCCATGCGGACGTTGACTGACCTAAACATCTTTGTTGACCTGATGGCCAAGTTTCGAAAATGGTATCAGAGACCTTTACACCACCAGTGCAGCTCAACGTTTCTCGTTGACCTTGCGCAATCGATCTGTAGGAGCGGACAAAAAAAATTGATAGACCTGAGCCCATCAATGTCTGAGCTCGAGAATTGAGAGGGCAACAGATATTTGAGAATCAGCTTATCGAACCAGGGAAACAAACAGGAAAGAGGATCAGTCCCCAGCTTATTTCCCTGGCTGGTGCGTGACCAATGGCAAGGGTCCGCGCTCCCATGACACCTTCCAAAAAAATCTGTTTCCATTGGATCCAGGAAACATTTATAAAGCTGAAGAATATCGAGTCTCATTCCATCGGCATCCATCCCCTTTCAACCGATACAGATATACATACATACCATCCATTCCCTTGGTCGTAAAAGCTCGCTGGCGGTTTGGTGAGCTCGCAGTGGAGAGGAAACAGCGCCTTCGATTTTGTCTGAACGCTGATCCATACTTTCTAGACGCTGATCGATCCTACCGAGCCGTCGAACTATGTCGGCTTGGCCTCTAATCAGTTCTCGATGGTTTCGTTAAGCTTCTTCGTGGTTGTAGCCCTGCATTTGGGGGACGACAACGACTCCTGGCAAAGGCCCTGTGAGAAGAGAAGATTGGGATGTTAATGAAAAAGTGATTCGAAATGCAGAGGAAGATGGACAACATACCTCTGGCGGCAAGTGACTCTAGACTGGTCTTGACCATTGCGTTGGCCGCATTCGACAGCACATTGATGTCTTCCATCGCCCCACCTGTAGGATACAGACAGACATACATACCATCCATCCCCTTTCAACACATACCCTTCATCATGGCTGAAGTGTTTAACAATCAAGTCCATGACGTGCCCCCCCCCCCCCCCTAATCCACCTGCGACAGCAGCACCCCCCACCATAGCTGACTTGGCTAGAAGAACAGATTATCTGTTCGAGACCACTAGCTGTTACGGTCTATTTATCCTCCACTCTCCAGACAGATCCAACCTTTCTGAACAAGGAACTTGATTGGTGTATAAAACACTTCAGCCATGATGAAGGGTATGTGTTGAAAGGGGATGGAAGGTATGTATGTCTGTCTGTATCCGTGATGGAAGACGTCAATGTACTGTCGAATGCGGCCAATGCAATGGTCCAGACTCCAGACCATCCTCTGTTTGGAGTCACTGGCCGCCAGAGCTACGTAGTTCGTCTTCCTCTGCCTCTCCAACCACTTGCATCCAATCTTCTCTTCTCACAGGGCCTTTGTCAGGAGTCGTCGTCGTTCCCGAAATGCAGGGCTACAACCACGAAGAAGCCCAACGAAACCATCGAGAACTCGTCGATGGTCAAGCCAACATACTTCGACGGCTCGACAACATTGACGCCCGTTTAGACAATATCGAAGGCACTGTTTCGTCTTTATTGCGAGTTCACCAAAACGCCAGCGAGCTTTTACGACCTCATGCTCGCTTCCCAAACCTCAACCTACGACACCGGAATGGCGCAGTTGGTCAAGGCAATGGAGGTGTTGGTGGTCATCGTGGAGGTCGTGGAGGTCGTGGAGGTCGCACTCAATAGCCTTCTTCTATTCTGTTACCATCTTCCACATTCATTCTTTTTAACCCAAACGGCACTCGTCTTTGCCTCTTTATATGCTTGTCACCTCTCCATCACTCCTTACATTATTGCGAATCTTGATGCATCTATCTAACTGCGCGACACCTGTCTGGACTCTGGAGAGATACATCTGAATCACTCGGATGAGTCACTTTCTAGCTACATTTTAAGCGACCCATGGGCACGTTGCAACGGTTTCTTTTGGGCGTTTGCAATCCGTGGGCTTGTGGTGTACCTAAACCAGTGCACACGGCCGGTTTTTAGTCTGGGCAGCCCCGTCTTCCGACCAATTGGTTTTCGAGGAGGGCTAGACAGATCAATGGGCCTGCGCTTGATGATACCCTTGTATGTATACCAGCAGACATTACAACAGGTTAATGCTATCACACTTCATTGGATTCGCTCGTCTTCGGTCCAGACTCCCGAGCCTGAGGAGAGCAGAGGGGAAATTTTTACTTTTGCTCTGCCTTTTCGAACTTCTTATCGCATGTTAGGAGCGCAAATCCTTATCATCGCCAATGCTATCATCCGCAGGTGCTTACATTCACTTTCAACGAGCCTGAGGCGCTTGACTTTCTTTCCCTGTCTGTCGTCATTCGGCGCTCCGTTCCCCATCAACCAAGCCTACAAATGGAGGTTGAGCTAATTAGAGGCTACACATCTTGCATTGAGGTCAATGTAATCATCGCTCGCGCAGATAATCAACTTTGGTCGGGAGGAGTTGCCATGTCTTATCATGACTTTCTCTGTCATCATTTGATGGCCAATGACCGCCATAAGAGTGACATTGGTTTCCCTATGGATAATCATCGGAGCTGCTTGCTGACCTGCTGAGCGTCGCCTGAATCTCCACAGTGAGGAACTGGTATAAAGTGAGTTGCCTTTTTGTCGCTTCATCTTTTCCCTCATCCCATTCCTATCCTTCTACTCGACAAACATCGAACACACCCTTCCCACCTAGGTCTCCGAACACTCACCGACAAACACCCCACTCACGCATCAAGAATTTTCACTTTCGTCATGTTTTCTAAAGCTTCCTCCTTTGTGCTCTTGCTCGTTGCCGGTGAGTCTTGATTTTCCGGTGCCAAAGCATGGACAGAAATTTACTGACTTGCAAAAATACAAAAAATAGCGCTTTTTTTGGGGGTGCATGCCATTCCTGCCACTTCCAAACCGGCCCTCTCGCCGGATCAGGCCCTTTCGCCGGATCAGAGCTCCTCTGTTACATCAGAAACCTCGTCGGTTGAAGTTACCACCTTCGTGCAAAGATGGGACTCCCTATCCCAGTCATTCACCCAGACTCAATCCACTTTCGAGCAGCGAGTCGATGTAAGCGTCGCATACCAATCAGTCCAAACACTCTGCCAGAGTTATCAATCGACAGTTACCGAGTACCAATCCTGCCCCTCTTGCAGTCGTGGCTTGGCTCAAAGTAACTTCCGAGTGCGCCAAAATTTATTCTTCTTTCCATTGCACGGTTAGATCCAAGAGGCCACGTTAGACTGATTTCATACATCCAATGTATCTCCAGACACAATTCCAGCAAACCATAACGACAATGTACACCTCTTTCCAAAGAATTATCATTGTTGGTCAAGCGAACTACCGTGCCCAATGGCAAACGAAATTTGCTCGTAAGTTGAATTTTACTGCACTCAAAATTTGACTAATGTATCTTTGGATGGACACCGACTAACGCTAGAACAAACATTTCTCACAGAGCTATTCCAAAGGATGAGCTCATTCGGAAGATTCTGCCAGACCATCGCTCTCAGTCTCCACCTCGACTTGGGTGCCCTTTTGAAAGGTCTCGGTATCAACCTCAACCTATTCGTGAACATCGGAATTGACCTTGGTGGACTCCTTGGTGGACCGAGTGGGGGCTTGCTCAGCAATCTTCTTAATTGAGGAAAAATCGGTGGCCCACTCGGCTTGCTTTGAAAATAAAAAACCCTGTAGCATCCCTTCAATTCAGTTTCTACAAAAACCTTCTTTCAACTAGTCTCAGAACTTCGATGCTTCCTTTTCATCAAGACTTCATTTCCTTCAATCGTTCTAAAAATATGAGCTTTATGTATCCGCACAGCATAACATTCAATTCAATGTAAAATACTTCTATCCTTACTGTAACACCAAAACCAGATGCTCCCAGAATTAAAATCTTCCAATTAACTCGTGTTTTCTGGTGACACTTCGAATAGAATGTGTTTTGTTTGCCCCACCCGTTAAGAACGCGTTATCCACTAAACTACTGAGTGGCACCGATGTAACAAGATGGGAAGTCTGATATATGTAAGCCAGTATCCCTGATGTCGGCTCGCGCTCATTGGTCAAGAAGATTGGTAAAGTCTAAAGGGAATTCGTTTATTTTTGCATTGATTTCTCGCGTGGACCAGGGCTTTATTTTGTGATTTCTAATCAAGTCGCTAGAAAAGTTTGTCCTCGCGATTTCTGCCAAAGGCTACAACGTACGAAAGTCAATGTTTACCGGGGAAATGCGAGCGTCCGGGGACATACAGAGTTCAATCCCAAAGTCTGAAATGAGAGCGAAGCGATTCCCCCCTGACGGCGTCACAGAAGGTTAGACAGCTGATGCCGCCCCAAGTTACTGCACAATCAGTGCTGGCAGGCCGAAAAACCCACGGCAAGTGTATCAAAAGTGACCGGGGAATCCGAGTCGGACCCATGCGGAGATTGACTGACCTCAGTCTCACTGATGGCAAGCGTCACGTTTTTGGCTCCCTGGCAAACGATGGACTCCCTCCGTCAGAAGCTGCCGGAGTCCTCGACCGTTCATAATTAGTTGCACAGCCTCAAAAAAGGTAAGCCTTTTGCAAAAAAAGCTTCAACTTCCCACTTTCCAGACGCCAAGCCTTTGAGAATGAATCCCTTCAATCCCTTCAGATATATCTCTATTTTTCTCCTACCAGCACTCTTATCCAATGTATGCCTGGGCTTGCCACCCCCAAGACAAACCCCACTTGATACATACCCAGACAACATTCAACCAAACCTTCGCGCCGGTACAAACCTCACTCCAAACGTTACCAATCTTGACAACAACAATACCACTTCCAACTCCACAACTGTTGGCAATCCCAATATAAATTCCAACAGCATAAATCCTGGTGGCTCCATTTTGAATTCAAGCACGACAAATGAGAATGATCCCGATTACGATTCAAGCGACGATGAGGATCTTGATGATGATGACTACGAGAATGATTGGAGCGAGGAGCCACCGAATGATGATGTGAGTAACAATGTGAGTGATTCAGTGTGACTTACGCTTGATCAATGTGCTCCATGCTCGAGTTATACGATCCGCAGAGCCTAGAGTTGATGAGACCAGTGTACAAATTCAGCATGACTGCGATCCAGATGCACCGATCATGCAATCCACGTCGCCTGATGATCCCACCATTAATACCACTGAAAATCAAAGATCAAATTCTACAAGTGGTCTAAGAAAGGATGGCGGTAAAGTCCTGGTAGGTGGTTGGTCGGGCACTTGTACGATCGGAGGGTTGCCCGGAGACTCAGTAGATGTTTTGGCCATTTGGTCATGCTTTCAAAATTTAGGTGGCACCGAACTCAACTAATCCCGGTGAGGGTTCTAGCGTAGGTGGAAACCATTCTTCTTCAGATACCGAGCATGTAAGTGACTGTTATTTGCATCAATATTCATGGCGATAACCCAGTATTAGGATTAGTTACTGATTTGACGAACTCCAGAATACCGCACATAGACTCTTGATCAACCTTCATGGAACCTGGCAGCTTACTTTACTTGCAGTTCTCGGTGGCAATCTGCTCATAATGATGTGAAACCGAATTTGCCGTCGGCTTGTTGTTGTCTTTCTCATTCTTGTCCTTTCATTCCAACAATCACCACATCTGTGCAGCTCGCAGGAAGACTTTTCTTCATTTTTTTCGCCAAGGTTTTTCTCTGTGCATCAGTTCGCGAGGAATAAAAACTACCTCTGATCATGTCACATAAATACATCTCTCCAATCAAAATGTGCAGCTTTCCGATGGATGTTGTGTGAGTTGACCTAAAAATGATGCGCGAATGAGCTCTCAGAAAAGTCACTACGAAGTGAGCATAATCAGGCAATTTTCAACATCTTGCGCGCAAATAAAACCAGTCATCTTCGGTACTTTTTACATGCATTTCTGGATGAGTTCAGAAACAACAACCAATCAGGTACGACCCTCAAAATTTTAGATCAGTGCTCCGATGCGGCGCGTGACTTGTTGCTCATGATGAGCTACTGTTGTCCTCAAGTACTTATAATGGGTTCAGTTGGATTGCACCCCTGAACCCATCCAACATCTGCTCAAAACGACTACATCAATAATACTCAAATCATCTATTTTTTCAGAAACTTTACTCATCCACCACAAGCCTTTAATCTTGACTTCGCAACGATGCCAACCTACACAATCACAAGTGATGACTACGCGCCTGTTGTCATCAACTCAGTAAAGGCCAAGGCCGTCTGGAAGCTCAAGCAGAGACTATGGCTGGTTTGAGGACGTCGGCATGGGTGCTTTCATCCTTGCACAGGTGAATGTACCTCAGCTTTTCACCTCCAGCGCACTGAACAACGATACGCAACTTAAGCTGTGCGTTTGAGTGGTCAGCTCTACAATCTTTTTCCTTTTTTTTTGGTTGTGCAGAACTATCAGCTGATGATGCAACACAACAACAGCAATGATTTCATGTGATCTTGACTCCAGGACTCCAGGGCTCCAGAAAGTCCCGAGGAGTACCCCCCATATCATGTTGCCACCAATATCAAAGATGTGCTCTCTGTGGATTCAAAGATGTGATCTTTGTGGATACCAACATTCTCATCGACCTTGTCACCACACGTTGGCCGGTACTCGACATACTACAGAAAACCACCACCGGCAATCGACGCGAGGCACTTTGCGTCCTGACCTGCCGGCGGGCGATGGATTTCTTGTTAAGTTTGAGGCTTATCCAACCTTGGACGAATTCGCTCTAAAGTTTCGGACGGCATCCGACTCCCACAAAACCGTTATTGTCGCCTTCATGGAGTTTCTCCTTGGTGCCCTCCAACTCCCGGCCGCCGACCCCGACAGCTGTTTGTCGTTCAGCTATCATACCGATGATGGCCTCCATGAAGAGCATCCTCACCACTGCTGTTAGCACTCCCGAAGGCTTGGCACCACCATTTGCGATCGTTTCCGCGGAAGACGTGCGACTTCTCTTAAGAGTCTTGGCTCTTAAATGTATGTCACTGCACCCGCAATCCCCTTACTCTTGCTGAAATCTCCTGCCTTCTCTTCCAATTTTTTTTCTCTCCTCTTCGTTTGCTTAGATGGAGCTGGCACTACCCTGTGTTCCTTGCTCTTTTGTAGGGCTTGGCAGGGCCTGCTAAAATCTTAGTGTTTCTGCAATTTACATACCCCCTTTGCTTCCAGTTTGTTTTTCTTCTTTTCTTTCTCATGAATAGACTGAGGTTGCGCTATCATGCGTTCTTTCCTCTTTTTGAGCGCTTGGCAGGGCTGGCTAAAATCCTATTCTTTCAGCAATTTGTTCAATGATAACCAAAGAGCAAGATTATTTCTCCTGGAGTATCATGAATAATAATGACTTGCGCTGAGTATGAATAAAAAAAGAGCAAAGAAAACAAAGCATCGCCGAAGAAAAGAAACCAAAATAATCGTGAGACTGAGAGAGAGGGAGGGAACATAAAGAGAAGATCCAATCTGAAGGAAAGAAAAATCATTGCACTTGAAGTTCATAGTAGTCAATATGAGTTTCTTTCTATGTGATGATGCAGCTTCAAACATTTGTGCCAATTGTTATACCTATCTAATCAATACTCCTCTGTTTTTTCCCCAAAGAATTGCCCGCTCAATCATCGCCACTAAGAAAAAAATATATTCAAGAGGTTAGCTGGTTTTCGGACAACAAGTAGGAAAGTGAAATGTTACTAACAGGAAGAAGTAAGACCCCGAAGCTGATAAAAAGCAAAAGGAAGCACGTTAATACAGATGTTAATGAGGATTTGATATAGTATAATAGAATGAGAATTACCCTTTTGTTCCTTGTCTTTCAATGAATCAGTTTTGTTAATTCGAGGGCGGAAGTTCGATGGGTCTCTTCGGAAGGTGATCTCGAGCGAGCTCAAAAACTATTTTTATTTTCCCCAAAAACCGAAAAGTTCAGAAGAGGGTCTCTCTTGTTTATAATTCAGCGAGCTCTTACCTTGTTCATTCCGGTCAGTAGGTTCTGCGGACTGCGAGTTATGAAAAAGATTACATGTTGTTTTTTAGCTTCAAGAAGCTTCTTTTGATGAGATAGTTCAAGTAATAGAATGCTCTTACGCATGAGCAGTGGCTTCTATGGATGGTTTTCCATCATACACGATCACTCGATCGGCTAGGTAAGTCGCCCTGAATGAATCATGCTGATTGCAATCAGGCAACGCTCAACATACTTGTCCGTAAAGGAAACCAGTCACTTACATGATCTGTCGAAAAACAAACAAAGAAACAAAAGTATGAGCATAAAATAACAAATGAATTGTAGCTTTTTTATGACTGTCAGGAAAGAATTCAAATAACTCACAAAATCGTGCTCGACAATGAAGGCAGTTTTCTTGACGGTCATGATGTATCGCTTGATGATCTTTGAGGTGACGATACGTTGTTCGGAATCAAGGTAGGCACTAGGCTCGTCGATCAAAAAGATATCTGTTCGCGGTTTGCCCAAGGCCAAGACGAGAGCGACACGTTGAAGTTCACCACCAGAGAGGGTGAGAACCTCTTGATCCATGAGGCCTTCGATGTTCAATGGCTTGATGACGTCGGCCTGGAATTGAGGATGCATGAACATCTCCTTGATCTGTTTGATCAAAAGCATCCGAACTGATCCCTTGAACTTGGGCGCAATTGTTTGGGGTTTCAATGAAACTCGTTCGGGATTGTATGGAAGCGTTAGATTGGCTTCGTCAGGTTTGATCTTGTCGGCAATCAACTTCACAAATGTTGTCTTCCCCGTCCCATTCTCTCCTAACATCACGATGATCTCCGAATCCGTAAAATTTCCTGCTTCAACTGTCAACTTGAAGTTTCCTTGTGTTTTGGTCATCGCCGGGTATTTGTAACTACGAGATGATTCAACAACGATGTCTTCAGCTGAGTCTGCGATCTTGAAATGTAAAGATTCGTCTCGGAATCGTAGATTCTCCGTTGGAATCATTCCATCCAAGAAAATGTTGATACCTGTAGTAAGATGAATGGTCAGTCTAAGAATGCAGCATCAGTCAGCCACATCATTGAGCCGAGTTTTACTCACCTTCACGAACTGAGAATGGTAGGGTAACCACACCATACGCTCCAGGCAGCCCGTACAAACAGCATATGAAGTCTGACAGATAATCCAGGACAGATAAATCGTGCTCAACACATATGACGTAGCAGGTAGGATGGAGTAAGGATCTAATTGTTCGGGCGGCATTCAACCTCTGTTTGACATCCAAATAGGAGGAAGGTTCATCAAACATGTAGCTGTTAACAGAAGTAGAAAAAAAAAACTATTAGAAGTTGTAAAACAAGACAATTCAAGATATGATGACATACATGTCTGCTTTTTGAACACAACTCATGGCAATAGCAAAACGTTGCAATTCACCACCACTCAGTTGACTAATTTCACGATCGACGACGTCATTCAGGTCCAGAACGTTGAGCATCTCTTGTCTCTTTCCAGCTCCGTCTTTACCTTCTAGCAGTTCACCTACTTTACCTTTGACCATCCTGGGGATATGATCAACGTACTGCGGCTTGATGAGTGCCTTGAGATTGTCTTCTAGGATCTTGGTGAAATAGTTTTGAAGTTCAGAGCCTCGAAAGTGTTTCAAAATTTCTTGCCAGTCTGGAGCAACCTGCGTCTCTCAAAAAAATGTTGGTGGCTACTCTTGAGATATCTGTGAATCAGTCAAAAAAAAAGGAGACCCCTCACATCGAACCGACCAAGATTGGGTTTTTGTTTCCCGGCTAGAATTTTTAGAGCTGTACTTTTCCCAATACCATTTGTACCGACCAAACCAAGCACCTGACCAGGACGAGGGATCGGCAACCGATGAAGCTTGAAAGAATTGGCCGAATATCGGTGGGTGACTTCCTTTTCGAGGTTGGTTGGCAGATTGATGACGTTGATGGCTTCGAAAGGACATCTAGCATCAATTAAGAAACATCAACTTCAGCCAATTGACCCCAAATCTTTGATTTACAGAGAGCGGTTTACTAACTTTTTGGGGCAGATACCACAACCGATACATAATTCTTCGGAAATGAATGCGATCTGCGAAAAATTATCCATCCAACATTAGTTACTTGAAGGATTGAGACCGGGAGGTGTGGTTTCGCTTACCTTGGAAGTAGTTTCAACTTCGATACACAGTTTGCCTGATTGAAATAAAATGAACTCGATCAGCAGTTTGATAGCTATTGTCTTGTTTGAAATCCAACGCACCCATCCGGACGACCGGACATGACTTTTTACATTCCTGCTTGCACTTCTTCGGTTTACATTCTGGATGAATTTCAATCAGTCAGTATAGCCCTCCAAAAATAAACCATGTGAATTTCTTACTGTCAGATGAGACGATTGCGATCCTGGTCAGTTTGTCGGTCATCCTGCTGGTGCGATTTCTTTATTTTTTTTTTTGTTGGTGGTGGGATTGGCCTTAGTAGCAGCAGGGTGCCGAGTGCGCAGGGGGAGTCGGGTGGAGGGTGGCCCGAATTGGGAAGAGGGCTCGCTCGGCTCGGGTTTTAGCCAGTTTAGGACTTTTGGCCCCGGTTTTTACCTGAGCACGCTCCAACCCAACCCTAACCCAGCCTACATGAACCCAAGTCACACCACTCATCTTCTCCAGTGGTGATCGGACTTTTCCTGTCCGCCAAAGACGTGACGGACGTGACTTCCCAAAGTCTGCCCAGTCTAGTGCGGCATGGAGTGACTCATAAGTCATGTGCCCCTGCCAATTTCAGGAAGGGACTTGTGCCTCGAAGTGGTGCCCACGTGAGACCAACCTTGCTAGTCCCAGATATATCTGATAATTACACCAACCGTTCATGTTTGACGGACATCCTCCAATCAATGGTTTCCTGAGCCCATCCCTGGCTCAAATTTCCTTTTTCATCTTATTTTATGGGTTCAGGTTTGTTGATTTTTTTTTCTTGTTGAGAAATGATTTTGGAGGAACTGAGTTGCCTCTACATATTTATTGTGTTTTTCAAAAAGCTTGGACCCCAATTCTATCTTGTTTAGTTTGACTTTTGATGAATCCCATACCTATACTCAAAAACTGTTGTTTGTATTTTGTTGACAGTTGTGTGTTTGATTCTGAAACCAAGGCCAAAACCAAACTTCAAGCCTGAAATACAACACATTTTCTTTCAGAATGTCAGAATGAATCCAGGGGGACTTCCCATCAAGATCTGTGGGCCCCAAGAGTCAATAATTTAAAGCTTGAAGGCAAGATTTCTCATGAAAGTCTAGAGATCTTGGGTCTTTATGAATTTCTGAAATGGGTCCACAGGAATTCATCCATTGGGGTAAAGTCATAAATACAGAAACTATAAATACTCCCAAATACAACTTCAAACTTTACTGTCCCCAAATTAATATTCAGCCAAACCTGTGACACAAATATAATTGCATGGCATCCTGAGATGACCAGCTACCCAAAGCGGCTTTGTTTGTTCAATTCTGAAGTCATTTCCTCCATATTATTCTGAGGATTAAGAGCAATCACATTGATTGACAGAAGTTGAAGCAGGCTAGTTATTTTTGGGCTAGGCTTGTCCATATTAGTTACTTGCATGGGTCTAGCCAGATCAAACATGATCAATTCTCTGGGATGAAAGCTTTGGGATGGTAGATTAATGTCATATCAAGGAATGTTTCAAGACCTCAATATCATCCCAAAGAAATAAAAAGCTTTACAAATCTACTGTGGAAGATCACAGATCATGTAAATATAGATTTTTGGACATTTTTCTATTTCATTTCTCAAGCATTCAGGACTCACTATTAGTTTTCAACCAAATATTTATCTTCACTGCAGAGGGGGTTGTATTGCTTACAACCCCCAGCAGTAAGTTTGGCCAGAGGCAGCCAATATAAGATCAGTCTCCCCAACCAATTTTATATTGTGATGGACCACCAATGTGTTACCCCTTTGTTGTAATGTATTGGTTGCCCCTGTTTGATTTTATCATGGGGGGGGGGGGGGTTGTAACCAATACAACACCTTTTGCAGTGCTTCTGGAATTGAATTTAATACCTGGAAGTAAATTTTACCCACCATATTTTGCAGAGTTTGGTTTCTCAAGATTCTGTCGTGAGATTTCCCTTCCAAGAGTTCACCATGTACATGTCAGATTATCACATATTTAGACAGATTTACATGGATTGAAGCAGATTATCACAGCTTTAATTGTGATATCACAGAATTTTGCATAATTTTGACTTGTTGAACAACAAAGATTGTCTTGAAATTGAAAAAAGGAAGTGGGAATGACAATTTTAAGCCCACTGTTGGTTGTGGGACCCAGATAATTTTTTTTATAATTTTTCCAAAGACACTGGCATGTTTATGGGGTTGGGAAAGTGTTCATATAAATCAAGCAAATATTTTCTTTTCTCTTACTGGGGAGGAAGTATTCCAATTCTGGGGAAAAATATGAGATTGGATCAAAAAATAGTAATCCTCTCAAATAGGAGGTGGCAAGTAAAAACTTGAAAGGAAAAAAAAGGTCTAAGGGCCTCAGAAATTGGGAGAAGGTTCTTCAAATGATTTTGGAAAGATCATGGCCTTTAGAGTCCCATATGGAACACCAATATTTTAGAGAATGAATTTACAAGAAGAATACAAAACTATTCATTCAAAGTAGTGGGGTGAACTCAAAGCCCTCAAGCAGGTTTAGAAGAAAAACTCCCAGTAAATCTCAGAGAAAGTGGGTCCAGTGATGGTTCACTGCCTTTTGCGCAACAGCCATCCAATAATTTGGAGTCATCTCCCCAAGTCTTTTTGTCCTGCGTTTAGCAATGTAGTTTCACTCGGGGCGCAAGAAGCTCCCCATTATAACTAATATGATGAAATCTCAAGGAAAACATGGAAAGTACGATGAAGTTACTCCCAACTCAAGGGAACGGGATGAATGAAATACTCATTCCACACGTATCCTTTCAGGTCAAAGTATTTTTTGGCATTTTTGCGCATTTATTTTGGTACAAACTGCAACGATAACGTTTTTCCATAAAAAAAGATTAATTTATGCCGTGTATTGACCAACCAGTATCACCTGCAGGCTGACAAGGAATCCGATAACCACAAGTATATATTTTTCTATCAAGTGCAAGGGGAACCATTCATCTCCACGGAGCAAAATTTGAATCTGTGTTGGTAAGAAAGACAGGAGGAAGTCAGTTAAATCCACAGGATAATCTTGCAAGGGTTTTTTCCACTGACATCGCGAGATTGCAAGCAGAAACATCCTGAGAAGTAGCCGCACGGCACATTGGCATAGCCATTGCATCCCTAGTCTTACCCTTGCATTTGCAGACGGTGCGGATCGTGTAGTACATAGTCCATAGGCCTTGGAAACATAACCGGACAGATCATTTCAATTTAAAATTGTCCGGGTAGAGGCGCTGAGAAAAAAAAGTGAAATGATAGATGCATGCCTGATTCTATCTAGATCCCAGAAGCCACCACTTACCATTCGAGTAGGAATGCTTGGAGTAGTCAGAACCATTGTTGGCACACCCACTAGAGGCCGACGCTGGCCAACTTGTGCCATTCTCTATCTTTCTTGGTTTACCAATCGTAAGCGCTTGGGTAGCGGTACCGAGCGCAGTGGGTGTGATGCTTTTCTGGAGGATGATAAAACTTTGAGTTGAACAAGTTGAACATGAGAATGAATATTTAGAGAAGACCTACCGAGGCACAACTAAAGGTCTTGTTTTTCGGCCAGGTTTCATCGATTACCGAACAGGCAAGGGAGTTATCGCACATGTCCCCTAAAGCAGCTCCGTTAGGCATAATGGTAGCCGCCCATGAAGATATGGCGCAACAAAAGGCGGCCAGGAAGGCAGATAATATAATTCGAAAGGGAGAATCGGTATGCAGGTGCATTTCGAGAAGGATTGACCTATTAGATTGTTAATGAGGATAGGCTTGTGGTGTGCGGGTTCCGTCGGGGCGTCAGTCGAACAAAGACAGAAGTGTTTGAAGTCTTTCGACAGGGAATTCATTCAAGCTTTTATGCGTCGCAAGTTAGGAAATACGAGAGCAGCTTATGTACATGTCCAGACGTAAGTATGGCTAAACCAGTGTTGTCCTTGGCAGCAATAGTCTTTGACGAGTCTTTGATGTCAATGCGATCTCTACCCCATCATCTTGCCTATCTCCTCTGCAACTTCATGTGGGTCTCATCATGCGGCTCTCCAAAAATTATCTACGTTTGCAAATCGCAGGTGATACACACAGCCAGAGTTATGGTTTATATTTGTTCTCCTGGGTACAGGAGCTGAGCCATTTTTGCCTAACAAATGTGAAGCTAATTGAAGAGAAGTCGAGTTCGACTCTCAGATTATAAATGCCCAATCAAGGAATTAGCCGACCCGGAAAAGCCTCAACGCGCACAGCACATCTTTCCGGGTCTGTCCCGGTTCGGTCGCCGGCAGGCCAATTCGCCAAAATGGCAGCCGGTTTGAAGGGGAAATTCGACCTATAAGGAGCTGTTGGTATTTTAACCCAGAAATCTGTTTACGCAGTCACAGCAAACCCCTGACACTGCGAATCAGGCGATGTCTTTGGCTGGGATCTGCGAGCATCTCGGCTTAAGATCTATAGGACCTCCTTGTGCGCCCAATCAAAGGCCAACCCTGAGAGGTTCACGCGAATTGCCTCAAGAGTGAGACTTGCCGGATACACAGCAGCGCAATGTAAGCGGAGCTGTCGAGTCGCCATAACAAAACTTGCAGCAATCTAGTTTCTGTTTTCTATCGCTCGGGACGATTATTTATGACTTTGTCGGCACGACAGGGTCTTTACCAAACTCCTTTCGGTTCTCATGTGGTCAAGCCCAATCAAATAAACCTATGAATGTGAGCGCTCTGGGCGCTGATCAGAAACAAGCTGCCCGTACTCTGACTCGATCACGATGGAAAATCACCCGTCTATGTATGAGCATTTTACGCCGCGCAGAGCTCATAAAAAATCTATTTAAGGCGGCTGAGCAATCCCAAACCACTTTTTTTCTCATTGATGAGTCTGCTTTTCCTATATCAAACGAAAGAATTCACAACTGGTGCGAGCTTGTCAAATTTTTCGAGTGAGTCAATCCTTTTTTCCCGTTTCTCTCTGGCTTTTTTCACATCCACTATAGATTAAATCTAAACCTAAGCCTTCAAGATATCCCTAGTTATAAGCAATGCAGCTTAGAAGTCTGATCAGCCCAGATTTACCAAAGCCCATTTTATCAAAGGCTGGTAACTTGCGTTACCCAATTGTTTTGGCTGAGGTCATGTCACCTATAAAATGAGAAAAATCACGCATGGAACAAGAGTTACGAAAAAAAAGTCTCTGTAGAGCACACCTCTTTCATAGTCCTTTGAAAATCTCTCTGGTGTATGTTGATAAGATGCCTCTTTCGATGATGCATGCTAAGATGTCCTTCTTCCCACAGATACATTTCTTTTTCCCTATGTTAAATTTCAAGATGCACGGAGAAATGTCTGGAAAAGGTTACATTATTTTTTTGTTGACTGTGTTCTCATTGGTCTCAATCGCGGTGGCCTCGGTGCAGCTCAATTCCTCCGAGCTATACTTATCAGATAAGTTTCAGATAACGTCCACCCCCCAAACCCGAAATTACTATTGGAAAATCACGTGAGAAGTCTTCTGCCCTTGTTAGAAGTCGGTAGTAAAACTTAATTAGTATGTACCTTCCAATCAGAAATGAAACTGGAGCACCGGACGGCTTCACTCGAAATATGCTCCTCGTGAACTCCCAGTTTCCAGGTCCATTGATAGAAGCAAATGTATGTTTTCGTCCAAAATACCCGCAGTTAATTTTGAGTAGATTTTATTGACTTTTGGTTTGCTTTCTGAAACCGTTCGCAGGATGGGTTAGTTGAACCTTCAAAGTAGCTGCAAAATCCGGAAACTTTTATTGACATTCTTCCCTTAAAAAGTGATACTCTCAATATCTTGGTGGTCAACAAAATGTCCGCAGCAGTGACCATTCACTGGCACGGGGTAAATATCATACCTTGCATTAAATACCGATCCTTCTACAAGCTGATGGGACAGTTGAAATTTTTTTTTATACCCGCGGAGCTTTTAGATCTTTCAGAGGGAAAGCCCTTGGATGGATGGCGTGGTAATTTTATTCATTCTATAGCACGTATAAAACAGATCGAGCACCTTGCTTACGATTTGCAATTTCTCCACCTTGGACGTGGTGACCATGCAGACGGGTGTGACCCAATGTCCAATTCCACCCGGGCATAATTTTACTTACTCTTTCAAGATCAATAACCAATACGGGACCTTTTGTAAGTTTTTGACTTTGTTGATAATCTAAAAAGGCAAAGACAAGAATTAATTGAAAAGAAAAATGTGCTTAATCCAGGGTATCACGCCCATGCCCAAGTAAGAAATTCTTCATCGCACTTCTAAAATATCTATGATTGAAAAATGTTTTGTTGCAGAATTTCAATTCGGATGGAATAGTGAGTTCACTGCCGAAAGAATGCATGTTACTCGTATGTATCAAGCTGATTGTTTTCTGAAACCAGGCAGGGCCGATGATTGTTCACAGTGTTAATGATCCTTTGAAACGAGGGGTGGACTTTCATCAGGACATCATACTCTTGATAAAGTGAGCAGAAAATATTAGATTAAATCCTCATACCTCAGCAATGAATTCCGGGTGATTTTGGTGGCTGATTGAATCAACGTCTGATCATAGTGATTGGTACCACGAGTTGAGCTTTTGATTTAGGTGTTTGGGGGGGCTGACGAGGCATCACAACTATTTTTCTAATACCGTTCGCTTTTTTTTTTCGTTGACAGCATGAGTCAAAGTGTCTTACAACAATTACTGTCTCCCACTGGCTATAACAATAGTCTTGCTGCACCGTAAGCAAGATTCGTTCATCCCCCCACCCCTCAATTGTGGTTGATGCTAATTTTATTTTACTTCGACTTCGACTTCAAAAAATCGATTGAGGAGCATAGGTCCCCTGTGAGATAATCTCAAACTTATTTATGAGTGGAGAAAAGAAAGATTACTATACACTAATCAGTGAACATTCACAGAATTCCGCCCTTGTGAATGGGATTGGATATTTCGATTGCAACAATGCACCGGCCAACGCAACTTGCACGACTCCAAACCAGAGCTTGACTTTTGATGTTCCTGTGGGAACCAAGACGCGCTTCAGATTAATAGGCGCCGGGTCGCATGCTCTTTTCCGGTTTTCTGTTGATGAGCATACCCTCAACGTGACCGAGACAGATTCCACGGGGGTTGTAGGTCCACCGGCGATTCATAGAGTGCCTTTCCGTGCGCAGATGAAATATTCATTTATTCCGGCTATAATAGGCCGATTAGCTCATTCTTTTTGTTTCCTTTTTTTATATTGAAATCATCGCAATGTAGATAACGGCGAAAGATACAGTGTGATTATCGACACCTCTCGAGATACGGTCGGAAGCACGGTTTACCTTAGAGCAGCTATGGACACCGATTGTTGTATGTGAAGCCACGTTCTACCAATAGCTATTGTATCATGGGGCTTATTTTTTCCACCCGACCAACTTTGTGACATCGCGTTTTTTGTTTTTCAGTTGCCTGGTGTTAGTGAGACTTGGCTTTGAAACGATTTAGAATATTTGCCCTCCAGTTGCTGAACTTTCCTTCTTTATATGCAGTGGCTCCCGGTATCACAGGAAGAGCCGGCACGGCATTGGGTATCATCCGAATTGTTGATCCGAAGAGACCTCCCCCCAGCAATTCTAGCGTAGCACTACCAACAACAAGGGACTGGTCCGATACTATAGGGGGAGCTTGTCTGGATCTCGATGTCTCAACCATGCGTCCGCTGGTGCCACAGGACGCGTGCACGAACCTTTTAGGAACAGTTAAGCATTGCACTTCAAATAACTCTTGATCAAGCTGACATGGAAAGTTCACCTCATCTGTCAGGTTTACTTCTCGACGAGCTTTGGAACAATCGCGTCTGTTAATGGCAATTCAACTTCCATTAGTGGGAGGTTTTTTGTTAATGGAACCACCTGGATAAGTAAGTCAAACCCGAAAAAGAAACATGAACCCAAACAGCATTTCTGATCGCGGATTTCCGACACAGCTCGGCCTAACCGCCCTTTGCTGAATGAGCTACTCTCTGGAGGACCCGGGACTATCAATGCCTCTGACGTTGCCGCCTTCACTTTCGAGCAGCCTGGATGCTACGATATTGTAATAAACAATCTGGACGCGGCCCTCGATCATTCATACCATTTGCGTAAGCTGCACGCCATTTGAATACCAAGAGCAAATCGAAAAAAAGGGATCCTGATTTGTTAATTATTTTGACCTCTACTGATTATCAGATGGAGTTGATGTAAGCAATCAATCAATTATCCGCAGCTCTAGTTTAGTCTTTTTCATAGAGTATTTTTGACTGTCAAGGGATGGATTGTCGCTACTGGTAGCGGCCAGATCAATGCGACGACGGTCTCAAGTCTACAGTACAATACGACCAATCCACTTCGCAAGGATGTAAGTCCAAACGACCTCGAAATCCAACGTGTCTTTCCAACAAGAAAAAAATGCTGATCAGTTTTCTTCCCTTCCAGACTCAAGTCGTAGGGGGAGGTAGTTACCACGTAGGTTAGTGAGCCCGGGACAGGTCTCGTGATGTAATCCAAATGGCAAAAACAAAGCCCATAAACACACAACTGACAGTTTTCATAATTGTACATTAGTTCGAGTGCAAGCCGATAACCCGGGAGTTTGGATCCTCCACTGCCACCTCGGATGGCACTTGGGCGCCGGCTTTGCGGGCATGGTGGTCATGCAGCCCTCAGTCCTAAGGCAGAAGACTGCCCCAGAGGGCAACCAAAGGTTATGCCGCGCCATTTCGCCTCAAGATCTCGACATCATCGAACCAGGAAAACGAAGGAGAGGGCTGTCATCTTATGCCTACAGCGATATGCTCTGAAACATCAGCTGACACATTCAGGGAAGTTTGATTGGTTTCTGAAGAAACTGGGAAGTGATATATCGGGAAAGTAACCAAAATTCTTGCTGAAATAACACACGCGTCTGATCAAGAGGTAATAAATCAAAAAAACGACCAGAAATTTCCTTGCTCTTCTATAACAAAATCAGATTTTCAAATATTTGGTATTCACAATTACCAGTAAATAGTTTATTTTCAGCTGATGGCCAAATACCTATTGGAATCCAAGAATTTTGTTGAGATCTCACCTTTTTCTCTCTTTTTCCCCCTTACTGCTCTCCAATATACATTGTTTTTACATTTAGCCAACCAACTGGACGGGAGGTTTTTCTTGAATGCTGGTATCTATATACATCATTGAGATGAATTTTGGATTGTAACTCACTGACCTAACTCTGGGCTATTTCAATTCCCCTTGCAATGCAATAGTGCCTTCCAGAACTCACATCAATCCATAATCAAAATGGGAAAAAGAAAGGTCAAGCCAAAAATTTTTGAAAAGAAAAAAAAACACGCATGGAAGCTGCACATTGAAAAAACTCATCATGAGAGGCTCTCCACAACATTTTCATTATAGGAACTTTTAAATGGTCTTCAAAAGTGCCAGTTTTTTGCCAAAAAGTACTGTTAAAAAGACCTTCCTCACTTGTCTACACCATTGAAAACTGCAGTAAGAAGAAGATCACAGCAGCAATTCCAGGCAATCTGACACAGCTTTCTAGTGGGCACTCATTTTGCAGATGAAATGAGATATGGTCAATGCGCTGTAAAGCAACAAGAGGTATCAAACAAGACTGATGGTACAATCTGTTGAGGCATGAGATGATGGTTTTGAATGAAGAGAAGAAATCATCATACTCTGTCTCGTGTCTGGGTGTCTAGTGAGCAGATGGTGACCCCAAAAAGGGGTTACAACACGCCCCCCTCATCTAGACACTCCACACCGAGACAGCTAGGTACAAAATATGATAGTGGAAAGAGAAAGAAGAAGAAAAAAAATATAACCTCGAGCAAGAAAATAGGAAACAACACTGTTAAAAGTAATCACAACTCCTTCAAAACTCCCAGCAGGTGTCCACAAAGGCGCTCAAATGGGTCTCTGGTCAGTGACTTGGTAAGGATGTTGGCCAGTTGCTCTTTTGTTGGTACCCATGTCAGGGATGTCTTCTTCTCGTAGAGTGCCCTATTGGTGATATGGAATTCCCTCTCCGTGTGTCTTGCTCTCTTGTTCGAAGATTCGCCTGTCCCGATTTTCACTGCCGCCTGATTGTCACAGTATAGTTGCCCAACATGCTCTGTTCTTGTGATATCCTTCAGAAGTTGTCGAACCCATAATACCTGTCTTGTAGCAATCCCCAAGGCCATGTATTCCGCCTCACAAGTTGATGCCGCCACTGTTGCCAACCACCTAGAAGTCCACAGTATTGGACAGCCATATACTGTTAAGAATATCCCGTAAGTCGACTTAGCATGTTCACCACCCCAAGAGGGGGTTGATAAACGCACGCCAACCCCCATGGCGCACGCACAATCTGCACGCCAGCTGCAGATTGGCGTGTGCGCCTGCACGCCATTGCAGAATGGCGTGCAGGCAGGCACGCCACTTGCCTGCAGGGGGTATACCCTGCAGGTTGGCGTGCGTGCCTGCACGCCAGGCTGTCGCATAGGACCCAGGCATGGGTTCTATGGGACAGCCCCGCTGTGTGGTTTTTTTTTTTTTTTTTTTTTTTTTTTTTTTTTTTTCAAACCCCCTCGGCCTAGAGAGGCCGAGGTCACACCGCTGGGAGGAACCCCTCCCGGCGAGCCTGTGTACATGCCAGCTCGTCGGAAGGAATCCCTTCCGACGAGCTGGGTTATGTACCAGTGTAAGCCCTGCTCCTCACAGGCTTACACAAAACTGTCACAAGATTACATAAGCCATTTCTGCTTTGTATTTAGCCGCATCTGTCCCCTTTACCTAGACAGCAGAGATCTTTCTCTCCTGTCTAGGTGAGTACCTTATCTTCTCTCCTCCTCTTCTCATTTCATTTCCTCATTTCCTCCACTTGTAGATACTAACGAGAGATCTTTCTCTCCTGTCTAGACATGAAATAAAAAACAGCGTTGGTACTAGAATCTTCTCCGTGGACGCT